TTACGGTCGGAACGATCGTGGCCGACAGTTTTCGTGTTCGGCCGACGGGGTCAAACGGATGGATAAGTTTTGGCCGATGAAACTTGGCCGGTCACGGGACGATGCCTTCCTGTTCGCGCGGATGGGTCGGCTGCGGTACATGGGTTGTGCCGCGCGGCCGCGAAGCTTTGCCTTCCTGTTCTGTTCTCGCGGCACGGTCGTGCACGGATGGTGGCGTGTGGAAGTGCGTTGGCCGACCGCGGGACGATGCCTCCCGGGTCAGTACGTGGGATCGGCCGTGGCCTTAGCGGGACGCGGATGATATGCGCGGCACGGTCGCGGTATGTTCGTTCCTCGATCGGCCGGCGTGCGCGGCTCAGGACGCGAATGCTCGATAAGGCTGTCTGGACCAGTCTTCACTAATTTGATCATAACTTGAGTTCTACTCATCCAAATGATGCCAATCCAATTGCGTTGGAGAGTTAACTCACTCAGAGCACGCGGGGGAACTGGTCTTGATGAAATCCATTGAGTAGATCGTTTTTTAGCTCCTCCCAAAGTAGAATCTGTGACAGTTGACTTGTTTGAAGTCCAAATCCTCTGTTTTGCTCCATAATGCGCCTTTTGACCTAAAACTACTTTTGCAAAAGAAAAAAACTACAAACAAGAATGCCACTAAAACTATGCAAAAGATGCATAAAAGATGTACTAAAACATGTAAAATGCAAGTACATCAACACCCCCAAACTTGAACTTTGCTTGCCCTCAAGCAAACAAATAGAACAAGAAAGAGATGAGGTTTGAAAATAGTGATTCAACACTTAAAAACATGTCCTCAAAAGCGATTTGCTAAATGTCCAACTTAGAGATTCTAGAATGCAACAAGGTGAGAGATATTCATTAAGATTTAACCATGCTTATCAACATCAATCCCACTTCACAGTCACTCAAACAATGCATTCAAATCAGCAAATCCCTTTAACATTCATTAAGCAAAAACAGTGAACCAAAAACATGCAAGATCAATCAACTCATTTGGTTTCAAGGGTTTATGGGTTAAGAGACAAAGAGGGTCTCTTTTGTATGGTGGTTTAGTAACAGGGATCTCTCAAGAAAGTGGCTTTGCTTTGGCAGAAGGCTAAGTGTTAGAACCAAAGATGATGCAAGAACAGCAGCTCGAGCCGTCTAATCCTAACTCGATCGAGTTCAACACTTAGAGCTTTTTAGAACAAAATCCTAACTACCCTTTTTGGCATTTCGCCTTTGAAACTGAGGAGCTTTGCTCACTTTTCTTTTAAGAACTTCCTAGGGAGAGGCTTCTTGAGGTAACATCTAGCGGTTTGGGATTTTCTAAACACTTAGGGAACTTTTCTTTCCTTTTTGACACTTGAGGCTTTGCCTTCTTTTCATTCTACTTAGAACCCTTTTTACTTCCTTTTTTAACTTCCCAAACCTTTACTAGACCCTTTTTAAACTGCCAACTCCCTGGACTTAACTAAACTCTTTTTCCTTTGGATTTTCCCAACTTTTACCACTTTTCTGGTTTTTGACACCCAACTCGATCGAGCTCGAGTTGGCACCCCCAAACTTAGCCTGAAAACAATCCCAAGAGAACTAGACAACTAGAACTACTGCCCCTGCCGGTTTAAACACAACACCTTATGCTAAGCAAAGCCAAGAAAGGTTCTCACATTCGCACAAGAGATAATAAGGGGTTTGAAATGAAAAGGCTTAGGTTTAAGGTGTGGTAACTGTCTCAAAGATAGAGATCAGCTATCTGGACAAGCAAGAGGGATATGAAAATAGGTAAAGAATGTCCAGATATGTATGTGGTAGCCATGAGTTGAAATCAAATGCAAGCATTGGTAATTAAAGATCAAGTTATGGTTCAAATAGATAGGGAAATGCATCAAATCACAGCAATGGTTGAATGAGATGTGCATGCAGTGATATGATCAAGATAAACATGGTTCTTGCTGCTCAATCAATCTCACCCTAATGCACAAAAGAATCTAAAAACAGGGCACTCAAGAAATCGCAAATGATGACAAGTTTTCAAAGTCAAATCAACAATGCAAGTGAAAAGATGCAATCCTAAACAAGTCTAACAAATATGAATGCAAAAAGATGAAAATATTTTTGGATTTTTTGAAAATTTTATGATTTTTTTGGTTTTTCTATGCAAAAAAGATGAAAAACTAAGAACAAAGAAAACAAGGTTAAATCATCTCTTGAACCCTCCCCCAAACTTAAATCACACAGTCCCTTGTGTGAGAAAATTTAGTGAAAGATTCAAGAGGGCAAAACCAAGAAAAAAAAAAAATGCAAGAAAATATGAAATGGTATACAAGGGTTGGTGTTTGGATACCTCAGTGCCCCCCAAAGAACTGGGAGGCTAGGTCGTGGTCTGGAGATGGGAGACGGCCATCAGGAGCACTCCATCAACTGGGTTCTGCTCGCTCGATCGAGCTTGCGGCTCCTCTTCTTCTTCCTCAAAGTGTGTGGCTCCCTTGGCCTTGGTGGAGCTTGCTAGCTCGAACTGCCATATGGGGTTCCATCTACTGGGAGTCCTGGTAAGGGCTGATCGTACTCGAAATCCCGGATTCGAACTGGCTCCTCAGGTCAACTCGACCCTCAGCTCGATCGAGTTGAGTTTCCTCTGTTTGGACTCGATCGAGTCCGGTGGTCGAGCTGGAGCGTCTGGCCTTGGAACTCTTCCTCCTTCTCTGCGTGTTGTCTCCTCTTCCCTTGGCTCGAAAGAAGAGGCTCTGTGAGGCTCTTGGGCAGGGAGCCTCCTTGGGTGGTGAGGAGTGATACTCCTAGGGAATGTGGCCTTGGGCTTCTTCTTCTTGATGAAGAACCAGAAACCTTCTTCTCCAAACTTTTGATCTTGCTCACCATCTTGTCCATGGACTTTTGCATCTTCTCAATGGCTTTCCCTTGCCATTTGTTGAACTTTTGGAGAAGTCCAATCCTCTTGTGAGCAGCCACAACAGAGGGGTTCATCCTTGGAGCCTCATACTCCTCAAAGTAATAGCACTCAGGCTCACCCAAATCCTCATTCATCTGCTCGATCCTCAGCTCGATCCTCAGCTCGATCGAGCTTCAGGCTCCTCTTCTCGCAAATCATCCTCATGCCCAACTAAAGTGTACACAGGGGGTCTGAAGTCAATGTTCTCACCCCTAGACTGTGGTGAGCTCAGGGTTGGGCAGGAGAAGCTTGGAAGGGCCAGCCGTGGATGTGTGAACTTGAATTGGAATCCCATCCAACTCCTTGTGCTCAATGAGGAGGTTGGTCTTGCAAAACTTGATGTCCATCCAACCTGGTGGAGTAGACCTTCTCTTGTCCACTTGACTCCTAGCTGCACAAAGATTGGTGTTGATCCCTCCAACACTAAGCTTTCTTCCTTTTGGTGTAGTGTTGTAGGCCGTGACTTGTAGGAGAGAGCTGCTCAAGGAGAGGCATGAGATTCCCTGCGTGTGCCCTATCTCCTCTGATCTTCTTCCCATCCTTGTGCGTGAGATGATGGGCTTGATTCCCATGTCAAGGAGCTTCACTTCTCCCTCATTGATTGTCCAGTGGCTTTCCTTGCAAAGAAGGTGTTGGCAAGAGCCTTGTGGACATATCTCAAGCACAGGACTCCTGATCTGGCAGCCTTGGACCTTGAGGAAGAGTACCCTCTTCAGCGATTGTAGCCCATACTCTTTGGAGTTCTTCTTCCTTGATGTTCCATAGGTTCCTTCTCCATAGTGAACCCAAACAGATCTCAAGCTGCCTAAAGGTCACCATCTTCTTCTCTCCCTTTGCCAAGAAAGTGATCCATCCCAGCCTTGGTCCAACTCAGCTCGATCGAGCTCATCATACTTGTGTACCTCATCGACGCCAAAAACTCACAAGTGAGCTCCTTGTAAGACTCCATGCGGTGAGAGAAGAACTTCCAAGCGCATGTTCTTGAGCACCAACTCCACATCCTCAAAGATCCAAGATCCTCATGTGTCATCATGTGGGTACTTGTCTCCACAAAGTCCATGGAGAAGAGAGCATTGTAGTGCTCTTGGTACATGGGGAGCTCATCCTCCTCTTCTTGTGGCTCAGCCTCCTCCATTGGCTCATCTTGGTTACTCTCTTGCTCACTTCATCAACCAATCTGATTCACCTCTCTCCTTCTCTCTTCACTTTTCAGAGTCCATCACTCCTCTTGAACAAGGTTCACTCCAATCTCAAACTCTCCTTGCTCACTCTCACTACTAATGGGGTCATTCCTCTTCTTGGTTCTCCTTTCTTCCCTCAATCTCTCACTCTCAGACTTCCTCAGAGTAGACATACCCTCTGCATCAGACTCTTCCATCCTTGATCATCCTTCCAAATCGGCTTGCATTTAAGCCTCTTTCCTTGCATTGCTTGATTCACCCTCAACCATTCTCCTTTGAAGCACGGCTTCCCTCACTGTTTGTCATCCTTGTTACTCTGTTTCTTCACTAAAGTACCTGAAATGCATCAAAGATTACAAAGAATTAGAGTTGTAATGATCGGTTTGGTCAACTCGACACCAGCTCGATCGAGTCAAAAAACTCGAGTGACAAACTCGATCGAGCTAGGTGAAAACAGAGTATAACCAAACCTAATTCAAGTATTAAGAGCTGGAAAGGATGCTAATCAATCAAATTGAACCAAGAACAACTAGTAAATGGAACAATGAGCAATTCTAGTGAAGACTAAGCATCTTAACCAATACCAAACTCAAATTCAATTTCAAGCACATGCAACAAGTTTAATGGCAAAACAGAGGTGAGGTGAAATTCACAGATATGAAGGCAATTACTCAAGAACAAGTCCACAAGGGACACATGCAATCAAAAATCAAAGAGAAACAAGCAATAGAGAGGAATCGAATGAAGGATTGGGTTTAGGGTTCATACCTTGCTTGAATGATGGATTGAAAGAACAAAGCTAGAACTAAAGCAACAAGAAATGAACAAGGAGAATCGCAAAAACTTAAGAGAGATGAGAATTCGATTTTCTTGAGAGAGAGAGATGATGATTTCAGAAAATTTTGAGTGTGGGAGAGAGAGAGGGGTTCGATCGAGTTATGGGGAAGAGGGAGTGTTTGAGATGTGTGGTTGAGATTAAAAGATGAAAAAGAGGGGACAAAAGCTAGGGTTTCTGATCGAATTAGGGTAGTGGGGGACCAAAATCAGCTTGTGGGACCCACTCCCTTGACCAAGAAAACGGTTAGAAATTTGAAATTCAAAAACTTACCTTGGTCGAGTTGTGGAACTCGATCGAGTTGCCCTTTTCTAGCTCGATCGAGCTGTCGGTCGAGCTGGCTCCTTTGTCACCTAAACTTAACTTATTGAAAGGTTAAAGACATAAAATAGATAGAAATTGCATAAATAGAGTATGTACAAGGATAAACATGGGACTTCCTCCCAAGTGAGCTTGTTTAAGGTCCCATAGCTTGACCTTTACCTTTTAGGCATTGGTTGAGCTAGTCCCACCATCAAGGGTGATAGTGAGGACTTGAGACAGAAGCTCCTTTAGCTTGGTTGGGTCCCTGGATTGTTCTGAAGTCACCAAGGCCTTGGCTCTAGAGAATGGCCTTGATCTCCCCTTGTACCTTATCTTGTACTCAATCTTCCCATTTTCAAACTTGGTGGGGAACAAAGTCATTGTGAGCTGAGATGGCTTGAATGAAGGGGCCTGAGCTGGTGGATCTTTCTTTTATCCCCTGGTCTTGCCTTAGAGGCTGCATCCTCCCCTTCTTTTAGAGCCCTTCCTAGTGGCTCATCAAACAAAGCTTGAAGGCTCTCTTCATCAAGCACACAAGGGGCTTGAACAAGTCCTATCAGCTCGTGGCCTATCAGATCGTGGTTTCTCAACTCTAGCCCTCTCAAGACGTGGCTTCTCAATCCTTGGTCCTCTCTCATCCTTATCCTTCCCAACTCTTGGTTCCTTTTCAACCTTTCCTTCACAACCTTTGTAGCTTCATGACTCTTAGAACTGAGAGGGTGCTTCAATTGTGGCACAAAAGTCTGAACCTCTAGGCTGCAAGCGATATGACACCAAACTATTCACCTTGTGAAGGATCACTTCTTGCTTGTGAAAGTCTATTGAAGCGCCAACTGTACTAAGGAAAGGGGTTCCCAATAAAGGTAGATCCTTCTCTTCTTCCATTTCCATCACAGTGAGATCAGTTTGGATGATGCATTCTCCAATTTTCAAGTGATAGTTCTTGAACACTCCAAGAGGAGACTTAGAAGTTGCATCTCCAAACATGATTGAAGTAGTAGGGCGCTGCAAGCTCCAGCAATGCCTAGCTTCTCTGCCATGGAGAGAGAGATCAGATTGATGCTTGCTCCAGAATCCACCAAGGCATTGTCAATCTCAAGATGCCCAAGTGTGCAAGGGAGAGTGAATTTCCCTTGATCCTTGACCTTTGGTAGGAAGTGGGTGAAGTAAGCAGGTTGAACTGATGAGTAGACTCTTGTAGGACCTCTGAAACTTTATCACTGTTGGCTAACATCTTGACCATTTGCATTTGATCAAATGCCTCACTCATGCTATCCATAGAGGCAACTCAATTCCAATCCCACTGAGATCTCTTCTGAACTTGTGAATCACTTCCTTGTGACCTTGACTAAGTAGGCGAGATGAGGAAGCGGCAACTGGCTGGTAAGGATCAAGCAAAATGGTTTGGGACGAGGGACTCGATCGAGCTAGAGTTGGACTCGATCGAGCTGCCGATCGAGCTTGTCGTGCGAGCTCAACTGGTGAAGTGTGAATGGCTATGGGAGTAGGTGCACTGGTTGATCAATACTTGATGTACTTGCATTTTACATGGTTTTAGCCCTTCTTTTATGCATCTTTTGCATAGTTTCATTCACCCAAAGCATCATTTCTTGATGTTTTCTCTTCTTTTGCATACATAGTAGTTTTAGGCTTGCATTTGCATACATATGCACGTTTGATGTCTTAATCAGGTCATTTGGAGCTAATTGGAACATTGCCTATCACTGGAGACTAGTTGAGGAAGGAAAGACTCTGTCTGCCCCATGTACGGACCCGCACTCGGTCGAGCTAGTGAGATGCGTCCGAAGTATCGTATCAAATGAAGGGTTTCCACTCCGATTCAGCCTCTGACTTCTTCTTGGAAGTTGTGGATAATTGAGTTAGCTTTCGTCTGGAGGTGGTTTCATGTCATTCGGACCAGCGGTTCAGAAGATACGACGATTTGGTTGGACTCGACCCACCAGCTCGACCGGCCAGTTTCCAACTCGATCGAGCTGCTTTTCCAGGAGTCAAAGTCAAACCCGAAAAATGTTGCTTCCCTTTGACTCCCCTTTGACCCTAAACCTAGTTTGCTTTACTATAAATGGCATTGAGCCACGAATTAAACACAGCTTTGGCTCAACTTTTAATTAATCTTGTATTTGCATTTCCCTTTTTACTTTTTAGCCTCTCTTTGTGTTCTTGAGCTCTTGCTCATAGAACCCTAGATCTAGGCCTTGTTATTGTGTTTTTGCACTTGCTTATTTCAATAAAAGTTGTTTATCTTTATCTCCTCTATCTTTCATGTCTATTTCATTGCATTTGGTTGTTTATTTCATCATGTGTAGTGAGTAGTTCCCTTTAGGGCTTAAGATGGGATAGGTTAGAGGTTGTTTATGCTTAATCCTTCTTGCTTATGTTCTTAATCTAGAAATCTCTCTCTTTTGGACAAACCTTAAGGCTACATGACCACTATCCCTGGCTTGTATGTCCATAGGCGATTCTCCACATGGAAGTGATGGAAATCGTTGGAAAAGGTCCACTAAGAGCTCCAATAACTCTTGCTCTCGAAATGGAGTTCATAGGGGTTGGATGGATTAGTTTGAGCAATGATCCTATGGCCTCCAAGGCTTGATTCTCACTGGCTAACCCCCTGTTTCTGAGATCAAGTCTTGGTTGATAGCTTTCACCTTGGGAAAGGGTTAGCTAGGCATTGAGAAGCTCAATATCAAGAGATACCTTGATACAAGTTGTTTAAGAGCAAGACTGATTAAGTATAGCCTCCCTTTAGCTGCAAAACCCTGTCTTTAACCCTAATCTTCGCATTAGCATCTTAAAGTTTGCACCTTTATCGCTTTTCATTGCATTTCCTCTGTTTTTACACCAACTCGACCCTCAACTCGATCGAGCTCACCAACTCGACCCTCAACTCGATCGAGCTCATCAACTCGATCGAGCTCTTGGTCAGCTCATCAACTCGATCGAGCTCTTGGTCGAGCTCCCTTGCATCTGCTTGTTCTTGTTAATTTCTTGCATTTAGCTGCTTTCTTTTACTTTCTGCATTGCATTTCCGTTATATTAGGTTGTTTAGTTGTTACATCCATCTTCATTTATCATTTGGCTTGAATTGCATAGTTCCTGCATAGTTCTATAGAGTAATCAGCTTCCCATTTGGATTGACACCTCAAATGCTACAATGACATGAGTAGCTGATTTTGAGTAATTGATAGTAAAATCCTGTTATCAAGACTCCAGGAGCCTCATTAGCAACAATCTCGTCGTCATTCAGCAGCAAACAAACTCTTCCATGACTCTCTCTTGATCCTCTTCTTCATCAAGACCTTCTTGAATGAAGATGACCTTGCACTGTTCCTTGGGGTTCTGAACAGCTTTACCAGGTAGTTGTCCTTGCTTTGTAGCAGCAGCAACAGAAGAAGCATGATTCTCCAGAGAGTAAACTCTTGTGTTGAGATTCTCAATCTTGGAGTTGATTTCAGCTAACTTCTTGCTTGTGTCCACTACACCATCAGCTTGCCCTTGAAGCAATTGTTTCAGCATAGCTTTGAGCTCATTCTCTGCGTAGGTGCAGGCTGGGGTGGTTGGTGGGGAAAGCCAGGTGGTATGTGCATTTGCTGACCAGGAAAAGTCCCTTGGGGTCCTTGGTAGTTGTTCTTTTGGACCATACCCATGTTGTGGGGCTTGACTCGATCGAGCTTGCTGTTGTTGAGGATAGACCTGGTCCTGAGGGTTAGCAACATCAGTGTTTCGGTATGACATGGCTGGGTTGGACTTGTAATTATAGTATCCTTTGTTGTAACCTCCTTGCCCATTGCTCATGTAGCATACTTCAGCAAATTGTGTATCCTCCCCTTCTTGGACTGGTTCCATCTCTTCAGCAGACACAAAATTGACTTTCTTCATTGTGGACTGAGCTAAGATCAGCTTATCCAACTTCTCATTCAATGCGATTAACATCTTTTCTCAATTTCTCATCGGACTCGATCGAGTGGGGTCGAGCTCCGGTTGGTGCGATCATACTCTTCTCCATAGCTTCCATTGGAGTTTGCAATGTTCTCCACAAGCTGCCAGCCATCATCCACTGATTAAAGTTCCCATTGCTGGCTGTGTCCAACATCTCTCTATACCTTGCAAGCATCCTCTATAAAGAGTAGAGAGTAGATTCATTGTTGAATCCATGGTGTGGGCACTGACTTGTGTAGCCTTGAACCTCTCCCAAGCCTCAGCAAATGTCTCATTGTTCCTCTGATGAAGCTCGATATCTCACTCCTTAGCTTGGCTGTGCGACCGGTGGAGAAAAACTTAGCAAGAAAGGCCTTCTTGCATTCATCCCAAGTGGTGATTGTGCCATGGGGCAAGCTCTTCTCCCATTGGTGAGCTTTGTCAGCTAGAGACATAGGAAAGAGTCTCAGCTTGATGGCATCTTCAGAGACACCATTGATCTTTGTCAAATCACAAAGCCTATCAAACTCATCAAGGTGGTCAATGGGGTCTTCACTTGGCAATCCATGGAACATCTTGTTCTGACAAGGTTGATCATTCCCAGCTTGATCTCAAAGTTGTGGTTCTGCACTGGTGGTGGAACAATCCCTTGTCTCTGTTGATGGCGGTTTGGAGCATCTCCTAGACCAATCGGTCGAGTTTGCCTAGCTCGACCGAGTCCATTGCCCAAAGGGTTTCCATTCCCCTCTGGTACATCCATTGTATCAGTAACAAGCACCTCAGGTTCCTCTTGTACCCTCTGAGTTCTCTTTCTACCCGTGTGAAATCTAGCTCGACCAAGTCTTCTGTTGACCGACTCGATCGAGTTCGCATACACCTGCAAAAAGAACAAAAACCCAGCAATACAAAGAACAGGGGTGGTATAGCTTGATCGTCCAAGTGTATTTGAAACTCAAATGCAACAATAATTCAACCCAAATCGGCAACGGCGCCAAATTGATGATAGGATTTTGTGTGTGATGTGATATGATATGAAATGTAAATGAGGTGGAATGCAACAGTGGTAATAAGATGAGGTGGTATGATGCAAACACAATCACAATCAATCAATTCCCTTAACCATCATAGTCATTATAGTATAAGGGTATCAATCCAAAATGGGTGAAATTGTTACTCTATGAGAATATGCAAACACAAGGAAGTCAAGCAAGCAGTAAATGAGGTGTAACACTAACAACCTAATGAAATGAAATGCAATGCAGAAAGTAAAGAAAGCAGTAAAGCAAGCAGCTCGACCAAGGACTCGAGTCGAGTGGGAACAGAGTAACCAGCTCGATCGAGTTGAGGGTCGAGTTAGCGTAAAAAGCGATAAAGGCAGGAACTTTAACAAGCTAATGCGAAATTAGGGTCTAAGACAGGGTCTTACAATCAGGGGAAGACTATACTTAATCAATCTTGCTCTTAAACAACTTGTATCAAGGTATCTCTTGATATTGAGCTTCTCAATGCCTAGCTAACCCTTTCCCAAGGTGAAAGCTATCAACCAAGGCAAGATCTCAGAAACAGGGGGTTAGCCAGTGAGAATCAAGCCTTGGAGGCCATAGGATCATTGCTCAAACTAATCCATCCAACACCTATGAACTCCATTTCGAGAGCAAGGTTTATTGGAGCTCTTAGTGGACCTTTTCAAGCGATTTCCATCACTTCCATGTGGAAAATCGCCTATGACATACAAGCCAGGGGTAGTGGTCATGTAGCCTTAAGATTGTCCAAAAGAGAGAGATTTCTAGATTAAGAACATAAGCAAGAAGGATTAAGCATAAAGATCCTCTAATCTAGCCCATCTTACCCTAAGGGTAACTACTCACTACACATGAATGAAACACAATCAAATGCAATGAAAAGACATTAAATGAAAGAGGAGATAAAGATAAACAACTTTTATTGAAATAAGCAAGTGCAAATACAAAGAAATCCAGATCTAGGTTCAAGAGCAAGAGCTCAAGAACACAAAGAGAGGCTTAGGTTGCTAAAAAGTAAAAATACAAAATTAAAAGAAAAGCTAAAACAAAATAAGCTAAAGATTGTTGTTTTTTCGTGGCTTAGAGCCTTTAAATACAAGAGGATTAGGTTTAGGGTCAAAGGGAAAGTCAAGGGGGAAGCAACATTTTTCGGGTTTGACTGTTGACTTCCAGCTCGATCGAGTTGAAGCTTGGCCGGTCGAGTTGAGGAACTCGACCGGATGGTCGAGTAGGGGTCGAGCTGGCTTCAAGATGGCTTCCTCCTTCTTCCTTTGCGTGTCCAGTTGAGCTGCGTCCATGCACCAAGTCCTTCCTTGCTCCTCACGTCCCATATGCTCCAAAGTGCTCCAAAAGACCTATTTCAAGGACCAAACATGCACATGTATGCAAATGCAACCTAAAACTACTATGAATGCACAAGAAGGAAAAGGAACAAGATATGATGCTAATGGATGCTAAAACTATGCAAAAGATGCATAAAAGATGTACTAAAACTATGCAAAATGCAAGTACATCAGATGCCACAATACTTCATCCAGGAAGTGGTCCCCGGCAACGGCGCCAAAAACTTGATCGCGGGATCAGGTCTTCCCTTTCCTATCCCTGATTCTGCAAGTGCACAGGTCAGAAGTAGTAAACGGGTATCGAACACGAGGACCAGATTGCACACTACAAACTATAAGATTGAGATCGAGCTAGGGCAAACAGTATAAGATTGGTTGAGTGCAGTGAAAGTAAAGCATGCAAGTAATAAGAAAGATTGAAATCAATAGGAGAGAGGGCTAAGCAATAGGATAGTCTTAAGATAAGCAATTCATGAAGCAAGGATCAATCAATTAGGGTTATTGCAATTAGGTGCCAATCTAGAACTTGAAACACTATGGTATGATCTTCCACTGTCGAGGCTCCGACCCCTTTGTTAATCTCCTAGTCGCTAAACTTTTGGTATGTCCCTAGGTGATTAAATCAAGCATTAGTTCGATTAAGTTCAATTGTTCACAACCTACAAGTAAATCAACTTTCGCAGTCTAAAAGAGGTTGCCCACCAAATACTAGTTCAGGCGAATGATACAGCACTTTCGAGGCTCAAATCAACCTAGATCATATGCTAATTGGCCAGATTAACAACAAGCATTAAGTATAAGCAAAGATGAAGATTATAAGTAAAACCCTAATTGTGATCGATCATCAAGCATACATGAATGCTATCCTTTGACTTCCTATCACTTAACAAGTAAACTACTCAGACATAGAGAAGGAACACGAATTCATATTCATAAGAACAGAGATTCGAATCCTCTCTAGAAAGAGAACAAGCAAGAACAAAGTAAAAGCAAGCAAAACTTTATTAAAGATGTAAAGATAATTGTGGTCTCTCTCCTTCTTGAGTTACAAGGCTAAAAAGAAGTATTTATAATGCACTAAGTATGAAAAAGCGGCTAGACCTAATCTAGCTAAGTCGGCGCCGGCTTTGGGCTTGAATTGTGTGATTGGGCTTCAAAAACGGCTTCGGGTCGACCGCGGCGTTCGGACGGTCGGTCGGGACGATCGGCCGGTCGTCGGGTCGTGTCGGCCATCGGTACGTCGGAACGATCGTGGCCGATAGTTTTCGTGTTCGGCCGATGGACGGATGGATAAGTTTGGCCGGTCACGGGACGATGCTTCCTGTCGGCGGATGGGTCGGCCGCGGTACATGGGTTGTGCCGCGCGGCCGCGAAGGCTTTGCCTTCCTGTTCTCGCGCGGCGCGGTCGTGCACGGATGGTGGCGTGTGAAGTGGTTGGCCGACCGCGGGACGATGCCTCCCGGGTCGGTACGTGGGATCGGCCGTGGACTTAGCGGGACGCGGATGATATGCGCGGCACGGTCGCGGTACGTTCGTTCCTCGATCGGCCGGCGTGCGCGGCTCAGGACGCGAATGCTCGATAAGGCCGTCTGGACCAGTCTTCACTAATTTGATCATAACTTTTCTACTCATCCAAATGATGCCAATCCAATTGCGTTGGAGAGTTAACTCACTCAGAGCACGCGGGAACTGGTCTTGATGAAATCCATTGAGTAGATCTTTTTTTAGCTCCTCCCAAAGTAGAAGTGTGACAGTTGACTGGTTTGAAGTCCAAATCCTCTGTTTTGCTCCATAATGCACCTTTTGACCTAAAATGACTCTTTGCAGTATAAATCCATAAAAACTACCTTTTAACACAAGAATCCACTAGAAAACCATTAGAAAACCATAGTAAAATAGCATAAAAAGCATGTAAAATAGAGGTATATCAACACCCCCAAACTTGACCTTTGCTTGCCCTCAAGCAAACAAATAGAACAAGAAAGAGATGAGGTTTGAAAACAATTGATTCAGCCTTAAAAACATGTCCTCAAAAACGATTTGCTAAATGTCCAACTTAGAGATTCTAGAATGCAACAAGGTGAGAGATATTCATTAAGATTTTAACCATGCTTATCAACATCAATCCCACTTCACAGTCACTCAAACAATGCATTCAAATCAGCAAATCCCTTTAACATTTATTAAGTAAAATCGTGAACCAAAAACATGCAAGATCAATCAACTCATTTGGTTTAAGGGTTTATGGGTTAAGAGACAAAGAGGGTCTCTTTTGAGTGTATGGTGGTTTAGTAACAGGGATCTCTCAAGAAAGTGGCTTTGCTTTGGCAGAAGGCTAAGTGTTAGAACCAAAGATGATGCAAAAGCAGCAGCTCGAGCCATCTAATCCTAACTCGATCGAGTTCAACACTTAGAGCTTTTTAGAACAAATCCTAACTACCCTTTTGGCATTTCGCCTTTGAAACAGAGGAGCTTTGCTCACTTTTCTTTTAAGAACAACCTAGGGAGAGGCTTCTTGAGGTAACATCTATACTTAGGGAACTTTTTTTTCCTTTCTTTTGAACACTTGCCTTCTTTTCTTTCTACTTAGAACCCTTTTTGCTTTCTTTTTTAACTTCCCAAACCTTTACTAGACCCTTTTTTAACAATGCCAACTCCCTGGACTTAACTAAACTCTTTTCTTTTGGATTTTCCCAACTTTTACCACTTTTCTGGTTTTGACACCCAACTCGATCGAGCTCGAGTTGGCACCCCCAAACTTAGCCTGAAAACAATCCCAAGAGAACTAGACAACTAGAACTACTGCCCTGCCGGTTTAAACACAACACCTTATGCTAAGCAAAGCCAAGAAAGGTTCTCACATTCGCACAAGAGATAATAAGGGGGTTTGAAATGAAAAAGGCTTAGGTTTAAGGTGTGGTAACTGTCTCAAAGATGGAGATCAGCTATCTGGACAAGCAAGAGGGATATGAAAATAGGCAAAGAATGTCCAGATATGTATGTGGTAGCCATGAGTTGAAATCAAATGCAAGCATTGGTAATTAAAGATCAAGTTATGGTTCAAATAGATAGGGAAATGCATCAAATCACAGCAATGGTTGAATGAGATGTGCATGCAGTGATATGATCAAGATAAACATGGTTCTTGCTGCTCAATCAATCTCACCCTAATGCACAAAAGAATCTAGAAATAGGGCACTCAATAAATCGCAAATGATGAACAAGTTTTCAAGATTAAATCAACAATGCACAACTAAACAGAGATGAATGATGCAATCCTAAACAAATCTAACAAATATGAATGCAAAAAGATGAAAATATTTTTGGATTTTTTGAAAATTTTATGATTTTTTTTTTGTTTTTCTATGCAAATAAAGATGAAAAACTAAGAACAAAGAAAACAAGGTTAAAACATCTCTTGAACCCTCCCCCAAACTTAAATCACACAGTCCCTTGTGTGAGAGAAATTCATTGAAGGATTCAAGAGGCAAAAACCAAGAAAATAAAAAGAAATGCAAGAAATATGAATGGTATGAACAAGGGTTGTGGTGTTTGATACCTTAGTGCCCCCCAAAGAACTGGGAGGCAAGGTCGTGGTCAGGAGAGGGCAAGCGGCCATCAGGAGCACTCCACTGACCGGATCTATGCCGCTCGATCGAGCTTGCGGCTCCTCTTCTTCTTCCTCAAAGCGTGTGTGGCTTCCTTGGCCTTGGTGGAGCTTGGGTTGCTCAAACCAGCCGTATGGGTTCCAGTGGCTATATGGGTAGTCCTGGTAAGGTGCCTGATCGTACCAAATCCAGGGTTTTCGAATTCTGACCTCTCAAGATCAACTCGACCATCAGCTCGACCGAGTTGAGTTTCCTCTGTTTGGACTCGATCGAGTCCACTGGTCGAGTTAGAGCGTCGGGCCTTGGAACTCTTCCTCCTCCTCTGCGTGTTGTCTCCTTCCCTTGGTTCAAATGACGAGGCTCTGTGAGGCTCTTGGGCAGGGAGTCTCCTTGGCGTGGTGAGAAGAGATCGACTCCTAGGGAATGTAGAAGCTATGGGAGTCTTCTTCTTCTTGGATGAAGAACCAGAGACCTTCTTCTCCAAACTCTTAATCTTGCTCACCATTTTGTCCATGGACTTTTGCATTTTCTCTATGGCCTTCCCTTGCCACTTGTTGAGCTTTTGGAGAAGTCCAATCCTCTTGTGAGCAGCCACAACAGAGGGGTTCATCCTTGGAGCCTCATACTCCTAAAGTAGTAGCAGTCAGGCTCACCCAAATCCTCATTCATCTCAGCTCGATCCTCTACTCGATCCTCAGCTCGATCGAGTTCAGGCTCCTCTTCTCGCAAATCATCCTCATGCCCAACTAATGTGTACAATGGGGGTCTGAAGTCAATGTTCTCACCCATGATGACTGTGGTGAGTTCAGGGTTGGGCAGGAGTAGCTTGGAAGGGCCAGCCGTGGGATGTGTGAACTTGAATTGGATATTTCCCATTCACTTCCTTGTGATCAATGAGGAGGTTGGTCTTGCAAACTTGATGTCCATCCAACCAGTGGGGTTGACTTCTTCTTGTTTAATTGGACCCCAGCTGCACAAAGGATTGGTCTAATGATCCCTCCAACACTTAGCTTTATTCCTTGTTGAAATTGAGTGCTATAGGCTGTGGTCTTGTAGGAGAGTAGCTGTCAAGGAGAGGCATGAGGTTTCCTGCGTGTACTCTGTCTCCTCTGAGCTTTCTCCCATCACTGGCGTGAGATGATGGGCTTAATCCCCATGTCAAGGAGCTTGACTTCTCCTTCATTGATTGTCCCAGTGGCCTTCCTTGCAAAGAAGGTGTTGGCAAGAGCTTTGTGCACATACCTCAGCACAGGACTCCTTATCTGAGCAGCCTTGGACCTTGAAGAAGAGAACCCTTCTTCAGCGATTGTAGCCCACACACTTTGGAGCTCATTTTCCTTGATATCCCAATTGGTTCCTTCCCATAAGTGAAGCCAAACAAGATCTCTAGCTGCCTAAAGGTGATCATCTTCCTTTCTCCCTTTGCCAAGAATTTTATCCATCCCCAGCCTTGGTCCAACTCAGCTCGATCGAGCTCATCATACTTGTGGTACCTCATCGAGCTAGGAACTCACAAGTGAGCTCCTTGTATGACTCCATGCGATGAGAGAAGAATTTGGCCAAGCATGTTCTTGAGGACTAACTCCACATCCTCAAAGATTCCAAGAGCCCTCATTGTGTCATCATGTGGGTATTTTGTTTCCACAAAGTCCATGGAGAAGAGAGCATTGTAGTGCTCTTGGTACATGGGGAGCTCATCCTCCTCTTCTTGTGGCTCAGCCTCCTCCATGGGCTCATCTTGGTTACTCTCATGGCCACTTTATCAACCTCTTGATTGACCTCATCTCCTTCTTCTTCACTTTCAGAATCATCACCTCTTCTCTTCCAATGTTCACCCCAATCTCAAACTCTCCTTGCTCGCTCTCACTACTAATGGGGTCATTCCTCTTCTTGGTCCTCCTTTCTTCCCTCAATCTCTCGCTCTCAGATTCCAATTCAGAGTAGACATACCTCTCTGCCTCAGAATCTTCAATCCTTTGATTCATCCCTTCCAAATCGGCTTGCAATTTCAGCCTCCTTTCCATTGCATTGCTTGATTCACCCTCAACCATTCTCCTTTGCGAAGCACGGCTTCCCTCACTGCTTGTCATCCTTGTTAGCTGTTTTTCCAACTAAGGTTCCTGAAATTCATCAAAGATTCCAAAGAGTTAGAGTTGTAAAGATCGATTCGGTCAACTCGACACACAACTCGATCGAGTCAAAAAACTCGAGTGACAAACTCGATCGAGCTAGGTGAAAACAGAGTATAACCAAATCTGAATCAAGTATTAAGAGCTGGATAGGATGCTAAACAATCAAATTTCTTAGAGAGAAGAGAGATGAATGATTTCAGAAAATTTTGAGTGTGGGAGAGAGAGAGGGGTTTCGATCGAGTTATGGGGAAGAGGGAGTGTTTGAGATGTGTGGTTGAGGATTAAAAGATGGTAAAAAGAGGGGACAAAAGCTAGGGTTTTTCTGATCGATTTAGGGAAGTGGGGGACCAAAATTTACATGTGGGACCCACTCCCTTGACCAAGGAAACGGTTAGAAATTTGAAATTCAAAAACTTACCTTGGTCGAGTTGTGGAACTCGATCGAGTTACCTTGTTTCTAGCTCGATCGAGCTGTCGGTCGAGCTGGCTCCTTTGTCACCTAAACTTAACTTATTGAAAGGTTAAAGACACAAAAACTAGATAGAAATTGCATAAAGAATATGTACAAGGATAGTCATGGGACTTCCTCCCAAGTGAGCTTGTTTAAGGTCCCATAGCTTGACCTTTACCTTCTTAGGCATTGGTTGAGCTAGTCCCACCATCAAGGGTGATAGTGAGGACTTGAGACAGAAGCTCCTTTAGCTTGGTTGGGTCCCTGGACTGCTCTGAAGTGACCAAGGCCTTGGCTCTAGAGAATGGTCTTGATCTCCCCTTGTACCTTATCTTGTACTCAATCTTCCCATTTTCAAACTTGGTGGGGAACAAGGTCATTGTGAGCTGAGATGGCTTGGCTGAAGGGGCCTGAGCTGGTGGATCTTTCTTTTCTCTCCCACAAGTGCCTTAGAGGCTGCATCCTCCCCTTCTTTTGAGAGCCCTTCCTAGTGGCTCATCAAACAAAGCTTGAAGGCTTTCCTTCATCAAGCACACAAGGGCTTGAACAAGCCTATCAGCTCGTGGCCTATCAGATCGTGGTTCTCAACTCTAGCCCTCTCAAGGCGTGGCTTCTCAATCCTTGGTCCCTTATCAACTCTTTGATCCTTCTCAACTTATCTCTCAACTCTTGGTTCTTTGTCAACCCTTTCCTTCACAACCTTTGTAGCTTCATGAGTCTTGAACTGAGGAGTGCTTTTGTGGCACAAAAGTCTGAACCTCTAGGCTGCAAGCGATATGACACCAAACTATTCACCTTGTGAAGAATCACTTCTTGCTTGTGAAAGTCTATTGAAGCGCCAACTGTGCTAAGGAATGGGGTTCCCAATAGCAGAGGTAGATCCTTCTCTTCTTCCATCTCCATGACAGTGAGATCAGTTTGGATGATGCATTCTCCAATTTTCAAGTGATAGTTCTTGAACACACCAAGAGGAGACTTAGAAGTTGCATCTCCAAACATGATTGAAGTAGTAGGGCGCTGCAATGCTCCAGCAATGCCAAGCTTTCTGCCATTTGAGAGAGAGATCAGGTTGATGCTTGCTCCAGAATCCACCAAGGCATTGTCAAGCTCAATATGCCCAAGTGTGCAAGGGAGAGTGAACTTCCCTTGATCCTTCACCTTTGGTAAGAAAGTAGGTGAAGTAAGCAGGTTGATTTGGTGAGTAGACACCTTCAGAACCTCTGAAACCTTATCATGTTAGCCATAACATCTTAATCATCTTCATTTGCTCAAATGCCTCACTCATCCATAGAGGCAACTCAATTCCAATCTCACTAAGATCTCTTCTGAACTTGTGAATCACTTCCTTATGGCTTGACTGAGTAGGCGAGATGAGGAGGGTCAACTGGTTGGTAAGGATCAAGCAAAATCGGTTTGAGGACTGATGGTCTGACTCGATCGAGCTAGAGTTCGACTCGATCGAGCTGCCGATCGAGCTTGTTGTGCGAGCTCAACTGGTGAAGTGTGAATGGCTAGTAGCTGCACTTCAGGTTGATCAATCTGGACTCCAGGAGCCTCAGCAGCAACAATCTCGTCATCATTCAGCAGCAAACAAAACTCTTCCATGACTCTCTCTTGATCCTCTTCTTCAAGACCTTCTTGAGTGAAGATGACCTTGCACTGTTCCTTGGGGTTCTGAACAGCTTTACCAGGTAGTTGTCCTTGCTTTGTAGCAGCAGCAACAGAAGAAGCATGATTCTCCAGAGAGTACACTCTTGTGTTGAGATTCTCAATCTTGGAGTTGATTTCAGCCAACTTCTTGTTGTGTCCACAACACCATCAGCTTGACCTTGAAGCAATTGTTTCAGCATAGCCTTGAGCTCATGCTCAGGTGTAGGTGCAGGCTGGGGTGGTTGGTGGGGAAAGCCAGGTGGTATGTGCATTTTGACCAGGAAAAGTCCCTTGAGGGCCTTGGTAGTTGTTTTTAGGACCATACCCATGTTGTGGAGCTTGACTCGATCGAGCTTGCTGTTGTTGAGGTGAAATCTAGCTCGACCAAGTCTTCTGTTGTTCGACTCGATCGAGTTCGCATACACCTACAAAATGAATCAAAAACCCAGCAATACAAATAACATGGGTGGGATAGCTTGATCGTCCAAGTGTATTGGAAACTCAAATGCAACAATATTCAACCCAAACGGCAACGGCGCCAAATTGATGATAGGATTTTGTGTGTGATGTGATGATATGATATGAAATGTAAATGAGGTGGAATGCAACAGTGGTAATAAGATGGGATGGTATGGTGCAAACACAATCACAATCAATCAATTCCCTTAACCATCATAGTCATTGAAGTATAAGGGTATCAATCCAAAGGGTGAAATTGTACTCTATGAGATATGCAATCACAAGAAAGTCAAGCAACAGTAAATAAGATGGTGTAACACTAACAACCTAATGAAATAGAAATGCAATGCAGAAAGTAAAGAAAGCAGTAAAGCAAGCAGCTCGACCAAGGACTCGAGTCGAGTGGGAACAGAGTAACCAAGCTCGATCGAGTTGAGGGTCGAGTTGAAGTAAAAAGCAATAAAGGCAGCGACTTTAACAAGCTAATGCGAGAATTAGGGTCTAAGACAGGGTTTACAATCAGAGGAAGCTATACTTAATCAATCTTGCTCTTAAACAACTTGTATCAAGGTATCTCTTGATATTGAGCTTCTCAATGCCTAGCTAACCCTTTCCCAAGGTGAAAGCTATCAACCAAGACTTGATCTCAGAAACAGGGGGTTAGCCAGTGAGAATCAAGCCTTGGAGGCCATAGGATCATTGCTCAAACTAATCCATCCAACCCCTATGAACTCCATTTCGAGAGCAAGAGTTATTGGAGCTCTTAGTGGACCTTTTCCAACGATTTCCATCACTTCCATGTGGAGAATCGCCTATGGACATACAAGCCAGGGGTAGTGGTCATGTAGCCTTAAGGTTTCCAAAAGAGAGAGATTTCTAGATTAAGAACATAAGCAAGAAGGATTAAGCATAAAGATCCCCTAATCTAGCCCATCTCAAACCCTAATGGGAACTACTCACTACACATGAATGAAATAAACAACCAAATGCAATGAAATAAACATCAAATGAAAGAGGAGATAAAGATAAACAACTTTTATTGAAATAAGCAAGTGCAAATACAAAAGGATTATCCAGGATCTAGGATTCAAGAAGCAAGAGCTTCAAGAACACAAAGATGGGATTAGAGCTCTAAAAAGTAAAGACAATAATTAAAAAGAAACTAAGTCCATGCACCAAGTCCTTCCATGCTCCTCACGTCCCATATGCTCCAGAATGCTCCAAAAGACCTATTTCAAAGGACCAAACATGCATATGTATGCAAATGCAACCTAAAACTACTATGAATGCATAAGAAGAGAAAAGGAACAAGATATGATGCTAATGGATGCTAAAACTATGCAAAAGATGCATAAAAGATGTACTAAAACTATGTAAAATGCAAGTACATCAACACCCCCAAACTTGACCTTTGCTTGCCCTCAAGCAAACAAATAGAACAAGAAAGAGATGAGGTTTGAAAACAGTTGATTCAACACTTAAAAACATGTCCTCAAAAGCGATTTGCTAAATGTCCAACTTAGAGATTCTAGAATGCAACAAGGTGAGAGATATTCATTAAGATTTAACCATGCTTATCAACATCAATCCCACTTCACAGTCACTCAAACAATGCATTCAAATCAGCAAATCCCTTTAACATTCATTAAGCAAAAACAGTGAACCAAAAACATGCAAGATCAATCAACTCATTTGGTTTCAAGGGTTTATGGGTTAAGAGACAAAGAGGGTCTCTTTTGTATGGTGGTTTAGTAACAGGGATCTCTCAAGAAAGTGGCTTTGCTTTGGCAGAAGGCTAAGTGTTAGAACCAAAGATGATGCAAGAACAGCAGCTCGAGCCGTCTAATCCTAACTCGATCGAGTTCAACACTTAGAGCTTTTTAGAACAAAATCCTAACTACCCTTTTTGGCATTTCGCCTTTGAAACTGAGGAGCTTTGCTCACTTTTCTTTTAAGAACTTCCTAGGGAGAGGCTTCTTGAGGTAACATCTAGCGGTTTGGGATTTTCTAAACACTTGAGGCTTTGCCTTCTTTTCTTTCTACTTAGAACCCTTTTTACTTCCTTTTTTAACTTCCCAAACCTTTACTAGACCCTTTTTAACACTGCCAACTCCCTGGACTTAACTAAACTCTTTTTCCTTTGGATTTTCCCAACTTTTACCACTTTTCTGGTTTTTACACCCAACTCGATCGAGCTCGAGTTGGCACCCCCAAACTTAGCCTGAAAACAATCCCAAGAGAACTAGACAACTAGAACTACTGCCCCTGCCGGTTTAAACACAACACCTTATGCTAAGCAAAGCCAAGAAAGGTTCTCACAATCGCACAAGAGATAATATGGGGTTTGAAATGAAAAAGGCTTAGGTTTAAGGTGTGGTAACTGTCTCAAAGATGGAGATCAGCTATCTGGACAAGCAAGAGGGATATGAAAATAGGTAAAGAATGTCCAGATATGTATGTGGTAGCCATGAGTTGAAATCAAATGCAAGCATTGGTAATTAAAGATCAAGTTATGGTTCAAATAGATAGGGAAATGCATCAAATCACAGCAATGGTTGAATGAGATGTGCATGCAGTGATATGATCAAGATAAACATGGTTCTTGCTGCTCAATCAATCTCACCCTAATGCACAAGAGAATCTAAAAACAGGGCACTCAAGAAATCGCAAATGATGACAAGTTTTCAAAGTCAAATCAACAATGCAAGTGAAAGATGCAATCCTAAACAATCTAACAAATATGAATGCAAAAAGATGAAAATATTTTTGGATTTTTTGAAAATTTTATGATTTTTTTGGTTTTTCTATGCAAAAGAGAATGAAAAACTAAGAACAAAGAAAACAAGGTTAAATCATCTCTTGAACCCTCCCCCAAACTTAAATCACACAGTCCCTTGTGTGAGAGAAATTTAGTGAAAGATTCAAGAGGCAAAACCAAGAAAAAAAACAAATGCAAGAAAATATGAAATGGTATTACAAGGGTTGGTGTTTGATACCTCAGTGCCCCCCAAAGAACTGGGAGGCAAGGTCGTGGTCTGGAGAGGGCAGACGGCCATCAGGGACGCTCCACTCGACTGGGTTCGCTCTCGATCGAGCTTGCGGCTCCTCTTCTTCCTCTTCTTCATCGAAGTGTGTGTGGCTCCCTTGGCCTTGGTGGAGCTGGCTTGCTCGAACGGTTGTAAGGGAGTCCAGTGGCTCTGAGAGAAGTCTTGGTAGGGCGTTGGATCGTACTCGAATCCAGGGTTCTCAAACAGGGGCTCCTCCAGGTCAACTCGACCCTCAGCTCGATCGAGTTGAGTTTCCTCTGTTTGGACTCGATCAGTCCGGTGGTCGAGTTGGAGCGTCTGGCCTTAGAGCTCTTCCTCCTTCTCTGTGAGTTGTCTTCTCCCTTCCCTTGGCTCGAAAGAAGAGGCTCTGTGAGGCTCTTGGGCAGGGAGCCTCCTTGGGTGGTGAGGAGTGATCTACTCCTAGGGAAAGTGGGGCCATTGGTGCCTTCTTCTTCTTGGATGAAGAACCAGAACCTTCTTCTCCAAACTCTTGATCTTGCTCACCATCTTGTCCATGGACTTTTGCATCTTTCCATGGCTTTCCCTTGCCACTTGTTGAACCTTTGGAGAAGTCCAATCCTCTTGTGGGCAGCCACAACAGAGGGGTTCATCCTTGGAGCCTCATACTCCTCAAAATAATAGCACTCAGGCTCACCCAAATCCGCATTCACATGAGCGTTGTCCTCAACTCGATCCTCAGCTCGATCGAGTTCAGGCTCCTCTTCTCGCAAATCCCTTCATGCCCAACTAATGTGTACAGTGGGGGCTGAAGTCAATGTTGGTACCTCCTAGAACCGTGGTGAGCTCAGGGTTGGGCAGAAGAAGCTTGGAAGGGCCAGCCAATGGATGAGTGAACTTGAATTGGAACCTCCCATCCAACTCCTTGTGTTCAATGAGGAGGTTGGTCTTGCAAAACTTAATGTCCATCCATCCTGCTGGAGTAGACCTTCTCTTGTCCAAATGGACTCCAGCTGCACAGAGGATTGGCGTGATGACTCCTCCAACACTAAGCTTCCTTCCCGTTTGAAACCGAGTGCTATAGGCGGTTGTCTTGTAGGAGAGTAGCTGGTCAATGAGAGGCATGAATTTCCTGCATGGATTCTATCTCCCCTGATTTCTTCCCATCCTTGGTGCGTGAGATGATGGGCTTGATTCCCATGTCAAGGAGCTTCACCTCTCTTCATTTATTGTCCCAGTGCTTTCCTTGCAAAGAAGGTGTTGGCGAGAGCCTTGTGACATATCTCAGCACTGGGCTCCTGATTTGGCAGCCTTTGACCTTGAGGAAGAGTATCCATCTTCAGCGATTGTAGCCCAACTCTTTGTAGCTCATCTTCCTTGATATCCAATGGGTTCCCTCTCCATAAGTGAAACCAAAGGATCTCCAACTGCCTGAAGGTAATCACCTTCCTTTCTCCCCTTGCCAAGAACGTGATCCATCCCCAACCTTGATCCAACTCAGCTCGATCGAGCTGCTTGTACTTGTGGAACCTCATTGACGCCAAAAACTCACAAGTGAGCTCCTTGTATGACTCCAAGCGGTAAGAGAAGAACTTGGCCAAGCATGTTCTTGAGGACTAGCTCCACATCCTCAAAGATCCCAAGAGCCCTCATTGTGTCATCATGTGGGTACTTGGTCTCCACAAAGTCCATGGAGAAGAGAGCATCATAATGCTCTTGGTACATGGGGAGCTCATCCTCTTCTTCCTCTGACTCCTCCTCTTCCATGGGCACATTCTCGTTGCTCTCATGCTCACTCTCCTCAACCAATTGATTCACCTCTCCTCCTTCCTCTTGTGAAGAGTCATCACTCTCTCCCCTTGCCATGTTCACACCAATCTCGAATTCTCCCTATTCACTCTCACTGCTGATTGGGTCATTCCTCCTCTTGGTCCTTCTCTCTTCCCTCAACCTCTCAATCTCTTCCTCATCTTCCTTGGTTAGTGTCTTAAGCATTCTCCTTGCTCCTCTTGTTATCTCCCTTTTTGTGAACGCTGCCTTGCTTCCTTCACCTCTCAACATCTTAAACTGGTTGCTTCTTCAAGTTGGGTTCCTGAAATGCATCAAAAACTCAAGGAATTAGAGTTGTAATCGTTGGTTCGGCCAACTCGACACTCAGCTCGATCGAGTCAAAAAACTCGAGTGACAAACTCGATCGAGCTAAGTGAAAACAGAGTATAACCGAACCTAATCAAACAATAAGAGCTGGAAAAGATGCTAATAATCAAATTGAACCAAAACAACAAGTAATGGAACAATAAGCAATTCTAGTGAAAACCAAAGCATCTAACCATACCAAACTCAAATTCAATGAATCAAGACATGCAACAAGTTCTAATGGAAAAACAGAGGTGAGGTGAGGCAAATTCACAAAACTATGAAGAGGAGATTAATATGAAAGCAATTACTCAAGAATAAACCCATAAGGGGCACATGCAATCAAAATCAAAGAGAAACAAGCAATAATGAGAAATCGAGATGAAGGAATCAAGGGTTTTAGGGTTCATACCTTGCTTGAATGATGATTGAAGAACAGTAAGCTAGAACCTAAACGATGAGAGCAAAGGGCAAGAGAAATCGCAAAAACTTAAGAGAGAGATTGAAAACTCGATTTTTCTTGTGGTGATGAGAGAGAGGATGATTTTCAGAATTTTAGAGTGTGGGAGAGTGGAGAAGTGGGTTCGATCGAGTTATGGGGAAGAGAGTGTTTGAGATGTGTGGTTGAGATTAAAAGGTGAAATAAAGAGGGGACAAAAGGCAAGGGTTTTTCTGATCGATTTCAAAGTGGGGGACCAAAATTACTTGTGGGACCCACCCCTTGACCAAGGAAACGGTTGAAATTTGAATTTTGAAAACTTACCTTGGTCGAGTTGTGGAACTCGATCGAGTTGCCCTTGTTTCTAGCTCGATCGAGCTGTCGGTCGAGCTGGCTCCTTTGTCACCTAAACTTAACTTATTGAAAGGTTAAAGACACGAAAATAGATAGAAATTGCATAATAGAATATGTACAAGGATAAACATGGGACTTCCTCCCAAGTGAGCTTGTTTAAGGTCCCATAGCTTGACCTTTACCTTCTTAGGCATTGGTTGAGCTAGTCCCACCATCAAGGGTGATAGTGAGGACTTGAGACAGAAGCTCCTTTAGCTTGGTTGGGTCCCTGGATTGTTCTGAAGTCACCAAGGCTTTGGCTCTAGAGAATGGCCTTGATCTCCCCTTGTACCTTATCTTGTACTCAATCTTCCCATTTTCAAACTTGGTGGGGAACAAGGTCATAGTGAGCTGAGATGGCTTGAATGAAGGGGCCTGAGCTGGTGGATCCTTTCTTTTATCACCTGGTCTTGCCTTAGAGGCTACATCCTCCCCTTCTTTTAGAGCCCTTCCTAGTGGCTCATCAAACAAAGCTTGAAGGCTTTTCATCAAGCACACAAGGGGCTTGAACAAGTCTATCAGCTCGTGGTCTATCAGAACGTGGTTTCTCAACTCTAGCCCTCTCAAGACGTGGCTTCTCAATCCTTGGTCCTCTATCAACCTTATCCTTCCCAACTCTTGGTTCTTTGTCAACCTTTCCTTCACAATCTTTGTAGCTTCATGAGTCTTAGAACTGAGAGTGGTACTGTCAATTGTGGCACAAAAGTCTGAACCTCTAGGCTGCAAGCGATATGACACCAAACTATTCACCTTGTGAAGGATCACTTCTTGCTTGTGAAAGTCTATTGAAGCGAACAGTTGATAACATGACAACTAAAGAGAACACACACACCACGTGATGTTGCTCTTCTTTGAGACAAAACGAAGACTATCTCCAAATTGCACATTGATCCTCATAGTCTTCATTTGTTTTCATGACTAATCTCATAGCCAATATCTCACAGCCACAATACTACACTTCGAAAGAATCGTTTATCCATCATGTAAATATCATCAACGAGGTGTGATACAAAGCGTTAATGATATGAACGTGGGAGGAATTGGGTTTAACAAATTGTCAAAAGAATTACAAATAAACTAATCCAAATTCTGGAAACGCACATGACACGGAGATGAAAAGGAAAATTAAAACATAAAATACAATCTGAGTTGCAGAGAAAAATGGTTTTATTTTGTTTAATTTACCAATTTATTTTGATGAACAAATCTGAGTAATCAGGAACTTTTCTCTTTCTAACGCTTTCTTTACATCTACACAAGAACAAACGTAACCGTTCGCAATTCGTGATGGTACGTGAATTTTCATTATTAAATAAACCACTCAATTGTATGGATTAATGTAACTGCAAACAAACAACTTACTAATTGTGATTCAATTTTGGTAGATCAGAACAAAGCAAGAAATATTATTTTTATGGATTGAAAGATGATAAAGCATTTTGGGAATTAATACAACTAGGAATTGTACCCCTGCGCAAGCGTGGGGTTGTTTGCATATATTTTTGGTTATTCATCATCATTTATATACTTTACAAAGTGCTCTTAATGTTTTTCCTTTATATGTTGTTCTGTATATATGATATGATGTTTATTTATTAAATATCTATACAAAAAAAAAAATTGAGTGATTTTTTTTTAATATTAGAAATAGTCAATACTTTAGTTTTTTTTAACATCAAAATCAATAATTTAGTTTTATATATAACTTATTTTTATTACTTAAATTTAACTGTTAGCTTTCAACAGTTAAACATTTTCCATGAAATTTTATTACATACATTATCTTTTTACATAATATATATTATTATGAATTTTAGACATTTTAAATTTTCAGTACATTTTTTTCTTTTAAAAATAAATCTCTTGCATCTACTATTAAAAATTAACTTTTAATCTTTTAAATATTAAGTTCAACCAATTTTTATTATTTTGTCTTTTATATTTTTATTAATCATTTCTTTTTTTTAATACATTTTTATATTTTGGTTGAATAATAAATCATTCAATGATATTATGAAAGTGTATGTATTAATTGAATCATTAATTTTGATTTAATTAATTTGTATTTTTTTGTTGATGTGGACACTCTAAGAGGAGAGAGCAACTCCCTAATTATATATAAGATGTTATGTTGTTATAAAAGCCTATATTCCCTACAGAAATTATTTAATATAGTTTTTCTATTCATGAAATTGAACATGCCTTGTCAGCTATTGCTTAGTTGCTTAAGTTCAGCCAAAAACATGGAGGAAGAAATGAAATAAGAACAAAGATAACTTTTAAAACAAGAAACAAATACTAACCATGCATTGCTTAAGTTCAGTGTTGTTAAATGAACTTTTGTTGAGAATACGAGATTAAAATAAGATAATGAATATTAATTCTCTTGTACCTATGCAACTCTTTTTTTTTGTGAAAATTATTCATTTTTTTTGGTGCACTATTGTACTTATATATATTTTACAAATATTCTTTTCTAGCAAGACAAAATAAATTACGATATATTCAAATAGAAAAAAAAACAAATTACCATGGAAAATGGAATGCGGAAGTCAGCTTTAAGGAGTTCTTGTTCACTCAACGTTTGAGTATAATTTTTTTAGAGAAAAGAAAAGCATTTAGAAAATCAATATTAAAGATACTTTTTAAATTTAAACTTGAAATCAGTGTTTTTCTTTTTATTACAAATGGTTGTGTTTCTTGGATGTACCTTTTGGCTGATAACTGGTGCTTTAGATAAAATTGCATCTTTTGAAGTTTTGTACTTTCATTTCTACTTAATTGTTTATTGCTACATTGTGGGACAACTAATATTTGTTAAATTAAAATGAATTCCAGCAGTAGGGTCGATCAAGAACGAAATTATTATCGTACTCAACTATTTCTAAATATACATCATTTTAATCTTGTAGATGTTTCTACAATTCTTGACCTAAGTAAAGATTTTTAGAATTCTCATGAGAATATTTAACAAATTTTTGGTTTAAAAAATAAAAATAGAGAAATTTGTGCACATGACCAAGATACTGATCATATTTGCAAAAATAGGAAAGTATACTAAAATACAGTAATCATTTTTATTTAATACCAAAGTACCCCTTCTCTCTCCTCTCTCCTTATTTTCTTCTTCTCCATCGTTCACTCGGCCTCTCTCTTTTATCTCTCTCATTCTTTCCGATTATGCTCTCTCTCTGGCCGGATTCTGATTTGATTTCTTCATCAACCACATAAAATTTTGAGTTGATCTTCTTCCTTTTGTTATTCGATTTCTTGTTTTATCCACTATCAGCGATAGAACAATTGTGATGCAACCACCAACACGACGAAAACAGCTACGGCGACCACCAATACAACAATGACGGCGACCACCAACACGACGGTGACCACCAAGACAACGATGATACTGTTCACATTCGGAACTCTGAGGAGATGATTCTCCAATCAGCTCTTAATAAGATCTGATCTGATTAAGATCACTGTTTTAACAATGTTAATCATTATTTTAACATAATATATATATATATATATATTGTAATAACTAGTTATCTTTGTTTTTGTTTGTAGCGTGTTAAACAAAATTGTAATACATATAAGTTTTTGTATGATTTGTTGTTGTTACCCATCTAAAATGTTTAATATCCTGTAAAATATAAAGTTAAACATGAATATATATTTATACACGTGATACAATAATTGTTAACTTATTATCTTTGTTTGTAGCATGGTAAAGAAAATTGTAACACAAATAAATTTGAATATAATTTATTGGTGTTATCCATCTAACATGTTTAATATCCCGTAAAGTATAAAGTTAAAGGTAAACATAAAACTGTACACATTATACATTAACTGTTAGCATGTTTCAAAAACATATAACTCATTAATATAATATTTATCAATATATATGTGTATTTGTAAAGTGATGGATGACTTACACATATAAAGTGATGAATTTTATATAAGAGAGAGGAAGAATGCGGGACCCAGGAGAATGAATGTAAAAGAGAGAATGTGTATGAGGGCCCACACCTTAGGGGACCAACACTCATCATTATTCTGAGGGTTTTTCTATCTTTGTATACACAAAACGTATATACGTATTTTAATACTTTCTATCTAGCTAATTGTCTCAAAAAATAATGAATATTCCTCAAATTTTCTTTGGTTGCATTAATCGAAATCTAGTGCAGCAATGAAAACAAGAAAGTCAATATTCTACCAACTCAACATATACCCTTTTGAACGTAGGGAACAACAATTAATATTTTATAAAAAAAAAAAAAAAACCTAGAGAACAACGATGGTGTAGAAAATCACAATTTACATTGGCGGTGGTGAGAACTGGATGAAACCACAAAGACGCAGAGCCTGGAGTGACGAAAATAACCAGTGTTGGTGAATAAAGAGGTGTGACATGCGAAAATTACTGGGCACGGCAGTCTGACAAAACTAATGCAATGAGAAATGGAGTATCACATTTGTTGTATATTTTTATCAATAGATAAATTAAGGTGAAGAATCACAATGATTTTTACTTGAAATGAGTTTAAGGTATAATGGTTAATGATTGAAAATTTGCAACATTTTGCTTATGTGCCTTTTTCGTTAAGAGAAAAAGATTAATATCAGGGCCTATAAGTTAAGAAGAAAACAATATTTACTAAATTAAAACAGCTGTTTGAGGCCTCTCAGCCTACCCAACTCAGCATTTTAAAGTTATCTCCGCAGTTGCCACGTGTCACCATAATTTTTCAAACGCAAAACCGAAATTTCTAATGCCCACAAAAAGTAAGCCCACGACTAATAATTACTATTAAACCTACGAGGCCCAATAAAGCCCACCCATTTCTCCCACCCTCCCAAAACCTGAAACTCTCCATTTCCGACAGTTACAAACTCCCTCTGAAGCTTCGATAATGCACCTTCTCACATGAAATTTTATGAAATACACTTCTTGAGGTGCAAATTTTCAAAACTACACCTATAGTATGAAAATTTTCAAAAATACACCTTTCCCCAATTTTAATATATATGTTTGGGTTCACTAATCCTATATTAGGGTTTAGATTTTATGGTTTAGGGTTTACATTTAAGGGTTCAATGTTAGATTTTAGGGTTTGGATTTATATTTTAGAGTTTAGAGTTCTTTTACTAAATGAAAAAAAATGTAGTTTTGAAAATTAGTACTAGAAGTGTATTTTTGAAAATTGGCATATCAAAAGGTAAAGGTGTAATTTTGAAATTTCCCCTCTCACATCCCCACTAATTCATTGATACAGCACGAATCGATTGCCCTTCCTCTTGAGCCATTCAATTTTCGGTGATTAATTGTCGCCGCTTTAAATCCTCAGAAATCTCTCTATAAAACCTCTAACCCATTCCCTCAACCTCATCATCTCCCTCGCAAATATCATCTCCTTCTCAAATTTATTTTTCAATAGCCTTTACGAGAACCCTTTGATATTGAATTAATTTTCCAATATCGTTCAAATCCTTTGGTGTGTGTTCAATCCCTATATGATCCAGGTGTGTTGATTACTATATTTGTTTCTTTCTTTGAAACAATTGTCCGTAGATCTTAATTTCACTAATTTCCTCTGTTTCAGAGTCGCTTGATTGTTTTAACCTTGCCCCTGCAATTTTGCTGTTTTTACTCTTACCACTAGATTCTAGGTCTGTTGCTTAATTTCTCACGCCTGATTATTAAGAATTCTATATTTTCTGTTCCACTACTAAAGTGCCTTCATATGATTTTAAGGAATCCATAGGGAGATTATCCATTCTAAGCGATTTGCAAGTTCAGCTTTCTTTGATTACATTTTCGTTCTATGCTCAATTTGGTAGTCCTAACGCTCTCTTTTAAACAATTATATGCTTAACATTTTCATTTGATTTAGTGTGTAAAC